AAGGAATTCTGTACTAGAACAATACAGTGGTCTAGTGCTTCTAGGTTATCAGTGGTTGTTTAACTTAGATCGGTTCGTGATCTTAATCAACTTGTATGTTGATTAACATGAGTGAAGATGTGTGTTTTAGTGATTAATCAGGATGATTCCTGGCATGTTAGAGTTGTGTTTGATAACGTCAATAACACCAGTCTATGTGGCTGATAGTCGTTAGCTTTAATTGTATAAGAGACTTCAAGTTGTCTTAGTGCTATCAGTACTATATCATAGTTGTTAACTTTTGTACTTTTTCATTAAAGAGAAATATTTAAGCCTTATGTGCAAACTGAACCTCGTAAATTCTATAATTATGAATTACTACTCTATTTACTAGTCTGTCTGTTGACAATCTCTTCTTATCAATCGGCCATTGTATCATTTAGTGAATGCTTCTCATGTATTTATATCTTAGTTCATTGTCATATTTGGACTATTTTAATTACGATGAATGTTTTGTGTGTCGCCTCTTTTCGGGTAATATTCTTCCCTGATAAGTTCATGTTGAACGAATTTGAAAGATTGATTATAATATTTTGAAAACAACTTGCTTAATCGATATACTATTTACTAGTTTTTCAATAGATGAGGTTGTGAACCCACTTTTGACTAATTGTAAATCTTTTGCTCAATTTGTAATCCTATCAAAGACAATGAAGAATGTAGCATACTGTTACATATATTCAACGATTACGTTATTTTGAAATTGATAACATCTAGAATTCCATATTGAGTTAAACTAGTTTTTCTGTCCCCATAAGTTTCCTGCACTAACCATAACCCGCCAACTGCCCGAACACCGATTACCACGACGTGCAATGCTAACCGGTGTTGGAGATAGTTGGAAGAATGTTAGGGGTGGCCAAACCAAAAAGTGGCATCAGTGCTTGAAGTCACTAACTTCTAGTCTGAGCCACGTTGGTAGATGCAGACTACTTGGTTGGGGTCCGCGTGACTATCGTAACCAATGGTTGGAGACTCTTGGTGACATGGCTCAGAATCGATCACAATGGCGTCAGCGTATACATTTTCTGTCTTCCCTTAAACTATGAGATTAAGATCACTTCATATCTTTCCTTCTACTAGCTAATTCTTTCTTCCTGTACTATATCCTTATTGCAATCTTTATTTTATGTATTACCACCTCTGAATTAACCACTTATAGGAATCCGGTGTCCATCTTGTTGTGTTAAAGAGGTATGGCAACTTGGACCGATGCATATATGTGCCTGGTCCTACGTTGTGGCTGACTGACTGAACTGTTCGACTTTACTTTTTCACACGGTCAGTATGACACGAAATCTTAAATCTGTTTAAATTCTTCCTGAAGATGATCAAAAAGACGCTACTTCTCTTTATAGTATTTACCTAACTTGGCTGTAATGGTTTAGATACTGAAAACCAAAAGATTTATATTTCGTGAGGTAACCACAATCAGTGTTTTAAGACTTTTAGTGATACAGCTCAGGATTGCTCATAGTGATGCGCTCACTCCTTGACTTCCACTTAATGTTGGTTCTCGATGCTCCTTCATACGTGCATTTCCTTTACGTCTTCTTGAACCATATTTTCACTGTTTAGTTTTTCTCACATTCATAACCTTTATATTTTAAATTTTTATTTGAACACAAATATTCGTACAAAGGGGCACAGAATACATATGCGCAACACAATGAACTTGATTTATGTATGGGCTGTGATACTGCTCGGGTACCCAGACCGAATCAGGTGGTTTTATAAAGGGCCACACCCAGAGCCTTCGACGTAAAGGTCTAATCCACAAGACAGTGGTGCAAAGTCAGGAGACGCAATCCCATGGTGGCCGGTGACCAAAAATCGGTTCATATGCCATTTTTCCTCTCAGGATACTGAAACTCGTGTGCATCATTGGGTTGGAATGAGGGTTTTCCAACTCCCCTAGGTGAACCCTCCGTATCCACCAACCGGGTTAAAGCGCCGAACAACACCCCCACCATGAAAAGGCAGTAAGCAGGACTTCTCTGTCAGTGGCTGTATATGCGTGGGCATCTGAGAGCATTTGGAGAGGGAGAGCTGACTCTCCCCACCCTCGGCTGTACCACTACAATTCTTTCAACTCCTTAGGTATTCATGTTAATTTCATCCTATGTTTAGTGTAGTGACGTAGACTGATGAATATTTATGCCAATCAGTCATTCGTATGCAACGTATAACCTGGTACATATTTGTGTCAATTCAAGTTACCACATCACATTTTTAGAGCGAAATGATAATCAAGACAAATCACATAAAATTTATGTCAAACCTTGTGTTGGTTATTACAAATAGACCTATTAGTAACGTAACAGTTGTTGAAGAATCAGAAGTAATATAACGCCAAATAAAAACGAATTTCCTTTTCTCCACGATACTACTACGATAATACGACCTGGAAAAAAGATTAAACTACTACTAGAATCGATCGATAGGTTATAGGCAGGCTAAATATGGAAAACCAAAGTAGATTTATTCAGCGCAAACACAAGCAGTTCAACACACCCATTGAGTCTAGAGTACAAATCAATAATAGGAAAGAAATCACATATTTAATAATAAATTTAGTGTTTGTTTCCGACATTCAGTGGCCAATTACATTTTACTTTCATTGGCCACAAATCAAAAAGTTAACAAATTACTTACATCGTTATATTTATTATTCAATTATAATGGTGAGAACTCTGCCTGTAGCTCTTCTAGGGTTACTGCCAGTCCAAAGCCCGGGTAAAGAAAGAGGATCGGGTATAGGGTCGGCAACCCTATCTCATGGAAAACAACCTTCCTAAAAAAACACTAACCAGAATAAACAAATTAAACCACTTAAACTCTTCCCTCCGAGTTGAAGGTGGGATTATGACGCCTCATGATGGAAGCCGAGATTCTTCGGAAGTCACGAAGTTGATGGCCCTTCTAACTACCAGAGCAACAGTTAATATAGGTACATATAATGTTCGAACAATGTGAGAGACCGGGAGGACTGATCAAATAGCAACGGAAATGAGGATATACAACTTTGCAGTTCTTGGAATCAGTGAAACCCATTGGATTTAAGCTGGACAGCAAGGGTTAGGTACGGAAGAGATGCTGCTGTACTTCAGTCACGCAAAGGAAAATGTTCAACACACTCACGCAGTTGCTCTGATGCTGTCCAAAGAAGCACAAAATGCACTTATTGGATGTGAGTCTGATGTATCCAGGATTGTCGAAGCGTCCTTGAAAAGAAAAAAGGAGGGAATAACAATGAATGTTATCGAGTTTTATACACCTACCAATAATAGCAACGACGACGTTGAAAATCAATTTTACGAGAGGCTGCAATTGATCACAACGAAGTGCCCAGGACAGCACCTGACAATCTTGATGAGAGATCTAAACGCCAGTCAGAATGAACACTAACAGTTATGAAGATATCATGAGAGGTAAAAGACGTAAGGAAAGGATAATGTTGAGAGTTTACGTCACTATTCAAACTATTTAGTTATCTTCAGAGTTGAATTCACGGATCAATCTAATCTAGACCCTCACTAAAAAAACATAGAAGCACTGGTAGGCCGTTTTATCATCTTGAATTCAACTTTGAAAATACTACTATCCCTACTAATCCTTAAACTATTTATTTATCATTGATTCATTAAGAGAATGTAATAATTGAACTACTATTCACTGTATATTATTCTCCTTATCAAGTTAAGTTTTTTTCAGTTTGTGTCATATAAACAACCAAACTTTGTTGGTAACAAATTAATTACTCCATTTTTATTAGAAGGGGTTTCGTGAATATTAACGTTTGGTCTGTCGTATTTTTGAGATTTGCCAAATAGTGATTAGATCATCTCACTCATGCTTCACATTGACGACTTCAATTTTGTGCATGTTTGCTATTTGTTTTAAATTGTATTCTCTTTCTAAATAATGAATTCCAACCGTTTAAACTATAAACCAATGTAGATGAAATTAAGTAAATACATATTGACTGAAAATCTTTGAAACTGATTGATCTCTGAGTAGTAGGTGAGTAATGCTGTTCTTCCTTAGTCGTTATTGTGTGCGCTTCGGATTATTGCATCGATCAATTACGTAATATGTGAGCAGTAAACTTGAAAGTCTCATCGTCACCTATCTTCTATTTTGATGTAAAGTATATGAAAGGAATTGACAGGAAGTTGTGACTAGATCTCCTAGATTTTGTATTAGTTGGGACAAGACAAATTACAGTTGTTGAGTCACTGAGATTGTGTTGGATTCGTCTTAGTTGATTTATATTGAATACTGTGTATGTTAGTGTGTCGATTATTATACTAGTTGTTAAGGTCAGAAAAGTTGTTTGATGAACTTCCCGCTGTGCTGATGTAGTTCAGCAACCGATACACATATGTATCAGGTTGTATGCTGCTTGCTTATCACTGAATGGATGAATTACGTATAAGGATTAGTTTATCGTGTTTATCTATGTGAGTGTGTGAAGCTGAACAGTTATCCAGTGTTCCCTAGATGTTTGACTAGTACATTTTTCTAATGGTTGGGATCGTGAGTCAATTGAAGTTAGACCACCATGGAAAGCCTGGAATCACTGGACGGCCGTCTCGTCCTATTGTGGGACTCTTCAGCAGTGCACATCCAGGATCCCACCTCGCGATATTCGAACCCAGGACTTATAGGTCTCGTGCGGGAACACTTAACCTCTAGACCACTCAGCTGGCGTCCAACGGTGTTAATGCTGAGGAGTCCCACAATAGCTAGTACATTTTTTTAAGTATTTGAGGTCATGTGTTAATTGAAGTTATAGACTACCATGAAAAACCTGGAAGCACTGGACTACGGTTCCGTCCTTGTACTCCACTATTTGTCACATCTTAATTTTGACATTGTTAAGTGTCGTTGTTTACTGATAGATTATGTTCTTTAACAGACTACTTAGTTTGAATCTTTTTTTAAAATCATTTTCCTTAGAAATGTACGGATAATTTATATGTATATACATATCATATCTAATTATATGGGTGTTATAATTAAACCAATTCTATTCCGAATTATAAAATCTTATCAAGTTCCCTTGACAACTTCTTATCCATTTAATACATCAAGTCAAATATTGATTTTAAATTCTAATGATATCTATCGAAATTTAGCTTTTGAAGAATGTTTATATCATGAAAGTGAGAAACACTTGAAATATTTAAAGGATAAACCATCATGGTTTACAAAAATTTTATTATGGCGTAGTAATTCTTGTATTGTAATTGGTCGATTTCAAAATGTTTGGAAAGAAGTGAACATTCCATTGTTACATTCTAATGGTTGGAAATTAGCTAGACGTCATTCTGGTGGTGGTGCTGTTTATCATGATCTTGGTAATTTAAACATATCATTTATACAGCCTAGATGTTATATGGATAGACAGAAATGTATGGAATTTTTACAGTCAGTTTTACAACCATTATTAATTCCTTCAAATTGCTCTATACATATTGGCAATAGATATGATTTGTGGATTTCAGATAATCAAACTAATACAAATACATTGCAAGTAAGTAAGTGTTGCAGTTTTAATTTTATTTTGTGATCAAATAACAGTGATCTTTTCTACATCATGATAAGCGTCTCAAAAGGTGGGAAGAATATCACTTTTACAATCAATCGGTCAGTCAATCAGTAACAACGTAGAACTTCGTACGTACGTACATCAGTTCGAGTTGCCATACCACATTAACACAGAGATGCAGTTGTCGATTCAAATCCCATAGTGGTAGAGGTAGTAAGAGTATAAGCAGTAATCGGAAACATTAGGGTTTGGAGATGTTATTTATGGAGTATAATACAGTGAAATAAATTTTGAAATAGAAAAAAGAGACAAGAAGGAATAAGGAGATCAAAATTTGGGAGAACACAAAGAGTGGATGCACCTGCGCCATTGCAAACGATTTTGAGCCATGTAATTCAGAGTCTCTAACCATCGGTTGCTATCATCTCGCGGTTCCCAACCAGGTAGTCTACACCTACCAACATGACTCAGTCCACTTGTCAGTGACTTCATGGACTTGTGCCATGTTTTAGTTTGGCCGCCCCTAGCTTTCCTCCAACCTACTCCTATACCACTGAACATCGCACGGTCGTTGGGCATACGTAACACATGTTCCAGCCATCAATCGGACTACATAATCGTTGATTATTTCAGAGATAGCTTGTTTACCAGACACCATGTAGTTAACTTTATTAAAGTTCTTTATTTGGCTACATTTGTAATCAATCAATTCGTTGGATTGTAAACCTATCTTGGTTGAAAGACATGGTTTAAAGACATGGATTGATTCTTAACCTTTAACATAGGTTAAAATGTGAATGTTGAAATGAAGGGATTATGAAAACAAAATTAATGGAATAGATCATAACTTATTTCGAATAGAACGAGTAAATATTTCACAGATATTATGTACTTGATGAATATTTCTGTTTCAACTAGTCAGTCAGTATAGTCTATTTATCCGTTTTCAAATAAGATCGATAAAGACATTATTATCAGTATAAGTTTATTGAGATTGTTGAGTTTTATTCAGACCACTAATTAATCTAAGACAGCTGTTCCAAACCTGAGAGCAGTGAATGAACATTTCGTTCTAGTGTGGGAATCCTCAGCAGTGCTCATTCGTGAGGTAGTTACTTATTGAAGACAATAGAAGGTGGTCTCGTACTACCATGGATTGTCTAAAATTAAGTTTGTACATCACTTGGCCTCTGGTCAGTAGCTTAAAGGTTAGGCATTCACACGCGTGATCGAAGGTCCTGGATTTGATCCATGTATGCGGGTTTGTGGATTCGCGCTACTGAGGAATCCCATACTAGGACGAAATGGTCGTCCAGATTTTTAATGGTCCATACGTGATCTTCGTAAGAGACTTTATTGTCATTAATTTGCTTATCTTCTCTTGCATAAATATTTTCTATTAAGACAGATTATTGTTGTGTAAACTCAAGATTAAATTGAATCTTACAGTCAACTGACATATCGACGTAAATCCAATCTATTAAAATATCGGCTAAAATTTAATTACTTCTATAGTCAAAGGGTAGCCTAACAAAATATTCAACGAGATTATAATAGAGCTTTGCGAATGTAGCCAATCGCTAACGCGGGTATAAGGATGGACTGATTTAGCGCTTGTAGAGTAATTTTTTTAGAAGCCCACTTTTGCATGAACTAGGTGCTGCATTTTGCCCACAGAGTCAACAAAAGATTTCAAATTAAATCGTTCATTTCAGAAAATGTAACACCATCAAATACATTCATCTGAATCGGCCCCCAAATGTCCTGGTACGGCGGAGGGTGGGGAGAGTCAGCTCTCCCTCTCAAAATGCTTTCACATAGCCACGCCTATACAGCCACTGCCACAGAAGTCCTACTCACTGCCTTCTCGCCGCGAAGGTGCTGTTTAAGAAGCTGAGAGGTCGAAAAGCGAATGTCCGGAGCTTTAACAGGGTTGGTGGACACCTAGAGTCCGCCGAGGGGAGTTGGAAAACCCTCATTCCAAACCAGTGGTACACATGAGCTCCCGGATCTTGAGGGAACAAATGGCATATGAACCTATTGTTGGTCACCGACTATCATGAGACTACATCTCCTAACGTTGCTCCACTGCCTTGTGGATTAGACTTCGGGTGTGATCCCCTAAGAAAACCATCTGGTTCGGTTTTGGCACCCGGGCAGTATCACAGCCCCTACACAAACCAAGTTCATTGTGTGGTGCATATGTATTCGGTGCCCCTTTGTACCAATATTTATATGTTTAAATAAATAATAAACCTTCCTCACCTTAGCTAGAAATATTGTTTTTGTTGGACTTTTCAGGGATCTTCTACTAAAAGATTCATCTATTAACATAGAATATCCAGATGATAGTTCTGTATGGTAAAAAGATTAACCAGATACAAAGTCTTCTTTTCACCTTGAACAACAGTCCGATTATATTTGTACTACTTTTCTCTCTCTTTGAATACAAAACGTTGCTTCAGGATTCGTCTTTGTCATCGCCTAGATCAATCAGAAATTTAAGTACTAAACTACGTTGACCACTTCACTTATCTTCATCAATCTTGTAATCCTCGGATAGATTGATGTCTGACTAAACCTCCATTAGCTTTCGCCAACTGTTGTCAATGATGGCCTAGGAGGCATGTCTGTCTACTAACTAAAAGATGAGTACCCTGCACAGAAGTTAACGTTATATTACTTTACGACTGAGAACATAACAACAAGAAAACTATCCTATATATAACATTCAACCCTGAATACAATTGATTATTGCGCAATTAACAATTAATTAAAAAATAGTTAGATAAAAGTCACTAAGCTATTAATTGAATCCTAGTCACATTACTAACTGTTAATGTATATTTATTGTTGAATAGGACTTATTTTTTTCTTTTAAATTATAGAATATGTCAAAAATATCCGGCTCTTCATCGAAATTCGGTGCTAATATGGCATATCATCATTGTACATTACTTTTTGATGCAAATTTAAACAATTTATCTGAAGTACTGAAACCAACTTTTGTAAGCTGTTCTCTTTTTCCGTGTCACTCAGCTTTACAGTTAGAGACGTTACCACTGAGCTATCCGAGCCATGACTAACCTCCTATAGGACTGAGATGTATTTACAATTGATTGATCACTGGGTGGTGATCAGTGTGATGTATATCAGGTCCTTCTTAGTGCAGACATATTGTTTATGTGAGATGCTTTTCTGGTGGACGGATGGAAGACTTCAAACTTTCTTAGTGTCGCATATCGATTTAATGGTAAAAGCACAGTACACTGACAGATCAATAAAATTCAACTACTGCATTAACGGGGTGATTTGGCTTCTATTTCGTGGTGATCTAATCGACCTGTATTGTCTAGAGCACTCGTTCCTTTATGCTTTATTATTCCATGTAGGTCCATATGTTCAGAGGACGTATTCATACAGTTCATTGTACAGGGTTGTGACCACAATAATATGTTTAAGATAATCAGCGTTTTCAGCGATCGCGCTTTCTCATAACTAAAATAGAGTATCAGAAAAGGTCTATCTACACCATATCTTATCCCACTAATTTCCGTCTCCAGCGATGAGGTCTTCAAAGTATGGAGTTGAGATATCATGAACTACTCATAAAATGCATTATGAGTGATCCCAGTAAGCTATCGTTTAGGCTCTAGAATCATTCTCCCAGGTTGTTTAACCAACATATGGCTTAATTTCATCATTATGTCCCTCAATATTAAGTATCGTTCCACTGTTCGAGGAACGGGAAATTGACAAATAGTCTCATACCTTTAACAATACATGAAATCGTTTTTTTTAACAATCAAATTCATTCTTCACTTCTTAATATCTCTTCTGTTTATACCCTATCAACCTTTACCTTCTTCTACATATACCCGTCTAGTGGAGTTCAACCGGTCTGTTGTGAGATAACAACTCACTGAAGACAATGGTGTACGGTGACGCAACTTCATGGATTGGTTGAAGTTAGACATTAACACCGTTGGATACCGGCTCAGTGGTCTAGTGGTTAAGTGCTCGCGCGCGAAGCCAGTAGGTCCTGGGTTCGAGCCCCGCGTGGTGCGGGATCGTGGATGCGCACTGCTGAGGAGTCCCATACCAGGGCGAAACGGCCGTCCAGTGCTTTCAGGTTTCCAAGTGTGGTCTAGCTTCAACTGACTCATGATTTCAACCTGTGAAATTTCTAAAACTCTCCACAAAACCCATTCTGATAATTATAGTTTAATGAATACTTTTTTTTTAACAACCACAGATTAATAAACTCATAAGGCTTATTTTCTTGAGTCATTATTTAATAACCATTAATTAATCAATCAATTGGTCAGCATTTTAGGATCTGGTACTAATACACATCAACCTTAACATTAGCACATCATATCATCATACACATTAAAAAAATGAGTAAAGTATTAATATACAATGAGATTTGAAACTTGACTTAGAAACTGAAAAATCACACACACACACACTCAATTAATCTTTTTAACCAAATTAACGAAGTGATGGTATTATATTAGAAAAAAACTATTATTAATAGCATTCTACAGAATACAACAAATCAATTATCTTGACAATACTGGTTTTAAGATTATTTCTTTGATAAGTTTATAAAAGTAAGTTGATATTTTAATTGAAATCATGATTTAATCAATGTTAGACCACCAGTAAAAATCTGGAATTACTAAGGCTCTTTACTAGTGCTCATCCACAACCCCGCACGCTGAACTCGGACCTAGGATCTTCGGTTTCGTGCACTTAACTTCTAGACTTGTAGTGTGATGTCGAGTCCCAGTTGACTATGAACATCACTACAAAGAAACACGTGACAAATAAATCAGATTGTGAATGCGGATTATAACCAAGTTTATTTCGTTGGCGATCTCGTAGTATCGAACGAATACCGAGGTCATGCCAAGAAAAGGTACAAGAAGAGTGGGCAGGAATAAGTACGTGCGAAGGAGGTCACAAACCGCGAAACAGTAATGGAGAGTAATGGAAGCACAAAATGTCTGTCATTAGCACAGTTAAACAAAAGCACATTAAAAACAAGCACAGGTACAATTGGTTATAATAATAATAATTGTTTTCATTAAGCTAATCGCGTTCTTGTGATAAAATTAAGTTACTACAGACTATTGAGCCTATATTCAATGGTGTTAATGTGTAACTTCAATCAACCCACAATGTTGATTGACCATCTTCCATTATCTTTGATAGGTAACTGATTCACATCTGACATGGTTGAACTTCACTGGTCATGACTTCTCACTAGAACTACGATAATGATTTTTTGAAGCTAGTCACCAGTGAGCACATGATAATTATCAGTATAAGGTTATGGAGACTATTAAGTTTTAATTAAGATCATAAAGTGAACTGATATCTGTTTAGTTAGGTTATTTATAAAATATCTTACATATGCTTAAGTAAAATGAATTTTACAGTTGATTAAATATTTTTTTAATATCATAGTAATAAGATTACGCAATAAATTATTAGGTGGATTCGTGCTTATGGAAACTAACAACTTCCTTCATTAGGTGAGACTGTAATTTATGGACGACCTTTAGGCGACGCTGAAGTGACCTTGAGAGTTTCCACCTAGTAACTAGGACCAAATTAGGGTTAGGAAATATTATGGAAGATTAGAGTTATGATTTACAGTTGATATTTAAGGTTAGTGAATTAGATTTAGAGTTGCCATCACGAACTGACATAAACTATAATGCCAAAACTCAATTTATCCAAATTGGTGAATGAATTTCGCGCCAAAATCCAAGACCTGTTTGGTTTGTTCATAAATTATAATGTTGCCTTATTTTACTACTAAAAAGAAAACGGATAAACAAATACTATAACAAAATACTTGTCCAATAATACTTTCTTATTTCCAATGTTCTCATCTCAACTATGATCACTGTCCATAACAAAATAACATCTACAAATTAACAAATAGTATTCATACAATCTCTACATCAAATTATAGTTGGTTTATATGATTAAGGTTATAGAGATTAGTTTACTTTTTAATTATAGTTCTCATCAGCTTGAAGGGGTTTGGCTTTTGAAAGATAACTACTTTGTCATAAATTTAATGTATTCAGCATTATATATCTGTTGGGATATTCATAAAAAATATCCCAAAAATGATTCTGTTAAGTCTAATGTTATCCTTGAACATGAAATGGTGTCATTTTCCTATTGGTCAATATTTATGATAATCCTAATTGTATAAATATACATTTGTTTGCAAAGTATTATTCCTATTCCTATTCTTATTCTTCTCCTGACCCCATAAACAATTTCATCTACGGTTCGTGTTCTGATATATTGGAGATTGCGGAACAGTATTGGAGTCGTACTGGGATATCTGAAGTTGGTCTGTCGGTAGAAATTAGAGTCAGCCACCCCACGGTCCACAATAATATCCATGTCCATTACAGGGTTGTAAGCGAACTGATGTAGTGAGTAATAGTTTAATCAACTAGGATGTGAATGATACATCAAATTGATCTTTTTCCCCAATTGTGTATGACATATATTCATCACATTTTAAGAAGAATTATAGATGCTTAATTGTAATTATGTCTTCACACAGTAACTTAATGAATTACTATTTAATAGTATAATTCATGAGTCAATTGAAGTTAAACCACTATGGAAAACCTGGTAGCACTGAACGACCATTTCGTCCTCGTATGAGACTCCTCAGCAGTGCGCAATCACGACCTGGCCTAGGACTTATCAGTCTCGTAAATCAGACCAATTTATTCAAATCTGACTACTAATCATATAAAATGTGATTTATTCTTTAATCGTTTCGACTTATTTTGGAAGCCAAATAAATTTTTATCAACCAGTTTTAGGTTTACGCAGTTCGCGCATTTTCTCTTTTGTTCAAGTTGTTGTGTAGATTTAGTTTGGGGTTATTAGAAAAGGTTTGGAAATCAAATCGAGAGTTCATTTAACAAAATGTATCATTAACATTTTCATTTGTGGCAATAATATACTATGTAATTCACGTACTTACGTATGAGCTAAACCATAAACACGAGAGGTTATGATATTACTCAGTTGTCAAAACCAAATTAGATAGATAGGGGTTTGGACCTAGGATTTTGTGACTGAAGATCGAACGACTTAACAAACTAAGCCACTAAACTACAAATTTGTGGTAAATAACTAATTCAATGTAATTCATGAAAAGATAAAAACCTATCATCTGTCAGTGATACAAATAAAAATATAAAGCTATATAAAAGAGCTCAAACCCAATACCTAATAAATAATATTTTATTTGAACACATAAATATTGGTACAAAGGGGCACAGAATACATATGCGCAACACAATGAACTTGATTTATGTATGGGCTGTGATACTGCTCGGGTACCCAGACCGAACCAGGTGGTTTTATAAAGGGCCACACCCAGAGCCTTCGACGTAAAGGTCTAATCCACAAGACAGTGGTGCAAAGTCAGGAGATGCAATCCCATGGTAGCCGGTGACCGAAAATTGGTTCATATGCCATTTTTCCTCTCAGGATACTGAAACTCGTGTGCATCATTGGGTTGGAATGAGGGTTTTCTAACTCCCCTAGGTGGATCCTCTGTATTCACAAACCTAGTTCAAGGGCCGGACATTCGGTTCTCGTCCTCTCAATTTCGTAAACAACGCCCGAGGTGCGAGAAGGCAGTGAGTGGGACTTGTGTCCGTGGTTGTATATGTGTGGCCATGTGAAAGCATTTGGAGAGGGAGAGCTGACTCTCTCCACTCTCAGCCGTCCCAGAGCATTGGGGGGGGGCAATTATCCACAACACGAATATGTATAATAATCCCAAAATTCCACATTGCACTTATACACCCTTGTCTAATAACTAGATTTTCAATCATATATAGGGAACAAGATTCAGTTAGCGGAATCCAATCTGTTGTTTAATACAAAATTGCAGAACTCTTTAGTAAAATATAAGAATCATACACTGGATACTTCATTTTCAAATCTTCTATCAATCGACCTTCAGATTCTTTATGGTTCTTCTAATTCGCAATTCCTTTCTATTTTCTTCAATCCAATCTTCTCAGCCTTCTGCTGTCAGGTTTTTCACTTCCGATTAGTGTGACATGCTACATACATCATTTCTTGAATATAGAAATTTTATTCATTCTTTTTTATGATCCTCCAGTTTTAAAATAATATCATAAACATAATCAAATTTATTTGTAAATGTATTTATGTTTTGTCGCAATTGATTGATCACTGGGTGGTGATCAATGTCATGTGTGTCAAGTCCTTATTTAGTGCAGATCGAATGCTATCGAACATGTTGCAATGTGGCCACTAGTCTAGGTGACTCGACATTTCAGGCACTATATATTGAGATTAGATGGTGGTTGGAGGTAGTCGACAGGAAACCCTGAACCTAGGTACCGTGCCACTTGGCACTCGTCAGCAAGGTGTATCTGTAATCTTGAGGGAAATGATGCTCCCCGACAGATTCGATTCCGTGTCACTCAGCTTTACAGTTAGAGACGTTACCACTGAGCTATCCGAGCCATGACTAACCTCCTATAGGACTGAGATGTATTTACAATTGATTGATCACTGGGTGGTGATCAATGTCATGTGTGTCAACTCCTTATTTATGTTTTGTTATGTTATGTTTTGTTTCTAGATAAATTTAAAAACCAAAGCAACTGATAGCATTCGAAGTCCAGTGAAAAATTTAAATTTAAACATTGAACTACTTTTAAATACAATCATTGAAGATGGTTTAAAATGGATATCCAAAGTAATAATAATCTTTATTGTATATTTTAAATTATAATTTTCGATTGTAAATGTATGTTTTCATTGTGCTTAGGTATTCTTTTTTGATTGAAATCATGAGTCAATTGAAGCTAGACCATTATGTTAAACCTGGAAGCACTGGACGGCCGTTTCGTCCTAGTATGGGATTCCTCAGCAGTGCGCATCCACGACCTCGCATCCCGCGAGATTCAAACCCAGGACCTATCAGTCTCGCGCCAGGCGTTTGACCAACTAGACCACTTATATATTGAGTTTATTGCCCCCCAAATGCCCTGGTGCGGTCGAGAGTGGGGAGAGTCAGCTCTCCCCCTCCAAATGCTCTCAAACGGCTACGCGTATACAGTCACTGTCACAGAAGTCCTACTCACTGCCCTCTCGCTAAGTAGGTGTTGTTTACGAAATTGAGAGGATGAAATGCGGATTTCCGGCGCTTCAATAGGGTTGGTGGATATAGAGGATCCACCCAGGGACGTTGGAAAACCCTCATTCCAAACCAATGATGCACATGGGATCCAAGATCCTGAGTGAATGAATGGCATATGAATTAATTATTGGTCACCGGCTACCATGAGACTGCATCTCATGACATCGCTCCACTGCCTTGTGGATCAGATCTCTAGGTTGAAGGCTCTGGATGTGGCCTGCTAAGAAAACCACCTATTTCAGTTTTGGCACCCGAGCAGTATCACAGCCCATACACGAATCAAGTTCATTATGTGGTGTATATGTATTTGATGCCTCCTTGTACCAATGCTTATGTGTTTAAATAAAATAATAAAATAAATATTGAGTTAACTGTTAATAAAACCTAATCTTTTTCGATGATAAATAGATTTAGTCTAATTGTTATCTCTTTGTCTAGTAGTTTTTACTATCGCTTATTTCAGTAGTATTTCTAGTACTACTACTCTGGTACTTATCTTAACAATTTTATCTTGTTGTATTGATATATTGATATATTGTAGCAATTTGAGTCCATTCATGTTTGTGTATGGTTCTACAGTGTTCATAACTAGCTGATTGATTGACTTATTAAACGGTAGAATTGAATAACATTCTTTAGAAAGACACTAAAACCTACACAATTGAATCATACATCTAAAAAAATACTTTTTCACCAATACGAGATCACTGTGGTCAATTCCAAGTAAATACATCCATATATCAGAAGGGGTTTTGTGGAGATTGTAGTAATTTAAACAGTTGAGATCATGAGTCAATTGAAGCTAGACCACCATGGAAAACCTCGAAGCACTGGACGGCCGTTCCGTCCCGTTGCGGGACTCCTCAGCACTGAGCATCCACGAACCCGCCTCGCGGGGTTCGAGCCCAGGACCTATCAGACTCGCGCCAGGCGCTTAACCAACTAGACCACTGATCTGGCCGGCATCCAACGGTGTTAATGTCTGACTTCAACTTATCCACGAAATTGAGCGACACATCCACCATTGTCATCAGCGAGTTACTTCCTCACAACTGACCCGGTTGAACTCCATTGGTCCATATATGCCAAGTTTTAGTTATTACCTCCATTTTGTGAACCTCGTTATTCGTTTAACCCAATAAAGTAGATTATGAATCATAATTTCTTCTCTGAGTCTGTTAGATATAGTTATTGATTTTCATTGAAATTATGAACCGATCAAGTTTAGACCATCATTGAAAACCTGGAGTTCCTGAAAGGCCGCTTTGTCCTTCTGTGGGACTCCTCAGTGGTACTTATTCATGACCTTGTAACTTAGAATCAAGTCCAAAAACTTCGGTATCTCGCTCGAAACACTTAACATCTAGACCACTAAGCCGACATCCAACGGTGTTGGATTAATTGAAGTCAGACTTGTATACCATTAGATCTTTACTCAATCATCTTGAGATTAAGCGTTAGCAAAGGTTGTGAGCTTGATTACAGGTCTTATAATCACAGATACAGACTGTTGAGGAGTCTTATATTAAGACCACACAGTGCTTTCACATTTCAATGGTTGTCTGACGTAGATCAGTTCATAGTCTTTTGATAAAATATTCATAACCAGAGTGGTATGTGGTGTCAACTCATCAGCTCATTAAATGTTATCTTGATCAGTATAAAGCTATTTAATTGAAATTATTATAATGTAAGTAAATAGGGATCTCTGGAAGATCTGGATAATAATGACAATCTCTGTGGGTATTACATTAAATATTGAAAACCTTACTACTTCTGCTACTATGCCTTATTTTATTTATTGCGTATTTTCTGACGTTTCTTTTTTGCATCTTGACTTGTGTATCATTTTAGAGTAAAAAAAAAGAATATTAATTGACTCGCTACTACGTGCAATATTTCACCTTTTCGTTTATCTATCTATCTATACTCTGGAGTCCCTCCGGGGGCTACTGCCGGTCCCAAGCCCGGATAAAGGAGGAGGCTTGGACATGGGATTAGTGACCCAATCCCGTAGAAAAATAACTCGCTAAAAAAAACGCTAACCAGAAAATCTATCTATAGTGCTCAATGGAATTGTCTTTAGTTAATCATGGTTACTAAGTGACAGTGCGGTGCATCCACGTAAGGACCATACTGTATTCAGTCATACCGCTGGTCAACTGAAAGAGAGTGAAGTTTCATAACGAATGTGATTACCATTTCATACAGAAATATACTAAATCCGGTATAGAATATAATGGATGAGATAGTCTTTTCTTAGTTTTGTCTTTTCTTAACTTAGTAATCTCATGAAAACTCAATATTCAATGTTCAATAATCAAATCGACTTAGGAATTCTTATGTAGAACGAACTATAAATTTCTTTTCTGTTATTCGTTAAAATACTACTAAACTCTATTTTGATTCAGTAGTATACAAACATTTTGAACAAGAACATTGGTTTTTTTTTGTTTTTCTTATTTGAACACTTTTCCCCTAATAGAATGATTTGATTACATCTAACCCTGTTGTAACCAATATATTGGAAGGTCAAGAACATCAATTTATCCATTCAATGAAAGATTTTCAACAAACATTAACATTATCACAAACATGGTCATGGATTTATGGTAATTCACCAAGTTTTCAATTAGCATTAGAAAATTATGAACCTAATCTATCTTATCTTACTAATCAATTTGGTTCCCTTGTCATAGATTGTAGTCGTGGTGGAGTTTTTAAATCTATTGGATTTGATCATTCTCATAATTGTAATATAGATCCTTTATTGAAAGATTTTTTATCAGAGTTAACTATATGCCTTGATGGTGCAGAATGTCGAACTAATTCATGGGATTTTATATTGGATCAATTTGTATCTAAGAGACTAATTCAATTGAATGGTGAAAATATGTCTAATGAACAAGTGTTAATAATTAAGGCGTTAAAAATGATTTCTAGTCTATTTTAATACGATTTTTATTGATTAAAATCATATTTCTAGTTTACTTTTATTATGGAACATATTATGTACAAGAGCACTTGTTTTTCATATGTTCGAAAGCGTAGTCGGGTACTTGTTATATCTCAAAGCCGTCGATGGATGGGCAGTGACTTATCGACCGGATCAAGGGATTTAGAATCTCAATAGGCTATTCTGGTCCGTTGTCCCCGACTCAGCTAACTCGATCAAGAAGTCTTGGTAAGGCGTAGAAAGTGTATTCTACAGGCAACCAACAGATACCAGGTCAGGTCAATCAGGCACACAATTCAAACGTATATATATATATATCGCCATGGAAGTGAGATTAAGTTTTCTAGTTTATATCACTGATCTTACTTACTTACTTACGCCTGTTACTCCTAATGGAGCATAGGCCGCCGACCAGCATTCTCCAACCCACTCTGTCCTGGGCCCTTCTTTTCTAGTTCTATCTAATTTTTGTTCATTCTTCTCATATCTGTCTCCATTTCTCGGTGTAATGCGCTCTTTGTTATTCCTCTCCTCCTTTAGCCTTGAAGATTCCATGTGAGGGCTTGTCTTATGACACAGTTGGGTGCTTTCCTCATTGTGTATCCTATCCACTTCCAGCGCTTCTTCCTGACTTCTTCCTTCGCTGGGATCTGGTTTGTTCTCTCTCACAGTAGGTTGTTGTTGATAGTGTCTGGCCAATGAATCTGATGTATTTTGCGTAGACAACTGTTAATAAACACCTGAATCTTCTGGATGATGGCTTTCGTAGTTCTCCAAGTATCCACCCCATACAGTAGAACTGTCTTGCGATTTGTATTGAAAATTGTGACTTTGGTGTTGGTTGATAGACAGCTGTCTTGAGTTTCAGATGTCCTTCAGTTTTAAATACACTGCTCTGGCTTTACCGATCCGCACTTTCACATCTGCATCAGATCCACCATGTTCATCAATGATGCTGCCCAAATGTGTAAAGGTTTTTACATCTTTCAAATCTTCTCCGTCAAGTGTGATTGGATTAGTGCATGATCACTGATCTTAATGATACAGATATTCGAAATTAGTAATAACTAGACAGTTGCTTTGTCCTGGTATAGGCTTACTCAACAATGGGCGTCCAAAACCCCATCGGTGATCGAAGACAGGATCACACGATGAGCTCCCAACCTTTAGACTATGCTTCTAACTTCAATTGATTCGCCATATTATGCAACCTGTCAGATATGATTAAACTCTACTAGTCACGATGTCTCCCTAGAACTAAACTTTTCTCCTGAGAACTAATGCGGACTACGTGGTCATCAGAAGCCCTGACGGTTGAATATTCTATATCAGATGGAGTCTTAATATAGAACTCGGAATTATTTGCCAAAATTTGATATTAGTCCATGAAGTGATTGACTCTTAGAATGAGACATCCAGGTAGCTGTAAACTACCCGGTTGCCTACTGCACGATTATCGTTACCAGTGTTACAGACTTTGGATGATGTGAATCGAAATCGGCCTAAACACACATCCACCTTTTTTCCTCGCTTAGATCTTATACTTTTTTATTCCATAAATTCATATTTTCGAGAATCATCTCGTTTATGCCTGTTGTCTTTTACTTTTACCGATACTGTTGCTACTACTACTACTACTACTACTACTACTACTACTACTACTACTACTACTACTACTACTACTACTACTACTACTACTACTACTACTACTACTACTACTACTACTACTACTATGTCATTAATCTTGATAGTTTCATCTTATATGTTGATACGATATGCCGGCTTGAATGGATGCACGTATATGTCATGTTCTATGATGATTATGGCTGACTGATGCAGACTTATTTAAACTCTTAAGCGATTGCACAACTATTTGTAAAGTTAGATAGATTCCCATTTTTAATTTGTATATATGAAGGGTTAATTTCCCTTTATGACACAAATTCTTCATATAACTCACTTTAAAATTATTTTCTTCCGTAAAGTCGTAAACTTCTGAATAGTTTATTTTTATATGGAAACAAAAACGCTATAAAAACCGTCATCTAAATGAACTTCTGACATAAAATCAAAACCAGTTTATGAAAATATTAACCAGTATGATGGTCGGTATTTTTTATTATTAGTAGTTTGAGTGAAACATAAATGTAAAGGATGCCTTAAAATTCCTTATTGAGAATCTGTACCTTTAAACATGTGACAGTAATAACGATGAATACAGACTTCAGAAGAATTTAAACATTCAATTACTCTTTAGTTAATTCAGTTCGAAGGAATTCAAAGATAAGATCGTTTATTACTTTACAGTGCTGAATTATCATCTTTACTTTTTTACAGTATTCAACAATTAAAAAACCCACTTCTTTGGGAACTCATTCAAGTTTCTTGTGAACTATGAGACAATTAACATTCGATATTTGAAAAAAAGACGATAATCATTGATTAGTCAGTAGTTTTGATTGATCGACTATCCATTAATAAGTTAGGTTACTAATTCGTAGTCAATACATATATGCACTTATTCATATAATCAACAGTCCTATGGGAGGTCGGTCGCATCCCGAATAGCTCAGTGATAACGTTTTGGATGACGGGTTCAAATCTCAATATCGCAAATATGCTCTACTAATCAGTGCCAATCACTATGAAAGCTAAGCCTAAATTCTCTTAACAGAATTGAATCTTTCTTTTCAAACGCATACCGTTTGAACATACGATTCATTAATTAAGTACTTAATAGGTTTTTCGTTGTAATAAGAGATTATTCTGATGTATGACCCTAAAGGTAAGTGAATGCATAACGTTCTATAACTTGTGACCATGGATTCATATTTTCAACTTCAAACAATACGTAATGTAGTTTGGTCTCCATCTAATATCAACAATCGATAGTAGCTATCTCTTTTAACTTGATCAATTTAACAAATTGCACCTTCCCAAAATTATATTAAGGATCGGTGAAGTACACGACGGTTACCGTAGATATTTTGACAACCAACTTTTGACAACTGTATATCCTCAACACTAAAAACAACAAAAAAATTGGAAGAACTCAAAGCATTTTTTATTCAATTACTATTCATAGTTGTGTTTTTTTAAATAGTAGACAAATTAACAAAACAGCAAAGAGTAAAAATACCACAAGTTGACAAGGTAACACACACACACACAAAAGAAAAGTTACTCAACAACTAAAGAGCAAATCAAATAAAGTAACCAGAAAATAACAAATAAATATGATCCAACTGGCAAGAGAACAATTCAAATGGGTCAGTGTACATATACATATGTATAGAAAAAAAAAAGAGAAGGAAGAATCGATTTGGTTCATGGAACAAAACAGGGAGATCGATCGATTGATCGATCATAAGGTGGATACTTACATTTGAGAGGAAAAAAAAACAAAAACAAAGATTCACAAAGTTATTTTTTCACACCATTTGACCACTACAAATAATGATGATAGAATCAATAGGATTCAAACACTCAACACTATACTACTAATTATGAATAGACTATTGATATTTGTCAATATACAATGAAAAGAACTATGGACGAATAGACATTACACACACACACACAGAGAGAGAGAGAGAGAAGCCTCATTTATTTGTATTCAGCATTAACGAAACTCGATGCAATAATTACTCAGAGTAAGAAAATAAATGCTATGAAATCGTTCAAATAGTTTGACAATAAAGAAGCCATTTGATAATCGATATCAAGGAACAATAACAACAACAGCAAAAATGTGAAATATTAAAGATATGGAATGTATATATATATCATCTATTACTGAACACTATCATCTAATATTCATGGCAACAATAGGATGATGATGATGATAATATATGGATCAATAATAATGAATGTGAAGATATTAGGAAACGTTAAATTGAAAAGGATATGTTCACTTCAAACATGACACTGGTTACGACTCCTTTTTATTATTATTATTATTATTATTGTTGTTGTTGTGATGGTGGTGGTGAAAATTTAACATGATGGAACTAGTGATAGTAAATTAAGATAAATTGTAAAGTATCAAAAGTAAGTACACATTAAAAAAACAAAACAATTTGTACACACTATTATTCTTATTACATAATCATGATGATATGTATATGTATATTAAAGGAAGGGGGGAGAGATTGTGTGTGTGTGTGTGTGTGTGTGTAAGGAACAATGATTCAAAATACAAAAATGTTCTCACATTTTATTATCATTTGAGAAAAACCGAATAAAAGGCATAATTTTGTCACTTGAGATCAAGAATTTACTACATACACACACACACACAACACAAACCAACCAATACAGGATGAGAGGGAGAGAGAGAGAGTAGAACTAGAAAATACAATGAACAATTTCAAATTCCATATTTTTCGACGGAGCATAGAGAGGTAATCATAAGTAAAATAGTCTGGTTGATAATAATAATGATATGTACTTGTATGCTTATAAAAATAAGACAGAATATATGCGAAATCATATCGCTGGTTGTGATAATCCACTACGAACTAGGCATAACGACAGAAACAATAACAACTACAACAACAACAACACTTATCGAAATGAACACAAATTTAATTATAAAAGTTTAAGGCACATTTTCCATATCAGGATCAAGAAGAGGACACACACACACACAGAAAAACAACAACAGTGAAACGAAATTGTATCATATTCTACACACAAAAAAAATTGATGAATTCTTGAGATTTTTTGGCCGCTGATATGTATGTTTTACAATGAAGACTGAATCTAACAGTATTATTGAAAGAAAATTATAAATAGTCAACGTATCAAAATAATTACCAAGAGGAGGTGTGTGTGGGAGGGGGTATTTTTCAAGTAAGTAAATAGATAGATCATATTTTGACAATTCAAAAAACCGGAAATAATAGTTGCACAAGAGAAATATTAAGTAAGTTCATGTTGGATAACACATCAATGTTGATGATGGATTGATGAATGTTTCGAAGTAATTAATTTATCCATTGGAAATGAGACAATTAATGATGCCTCTTGCATAGTGATTTGTTGTTTTCTGTAGAGAAAT